TTTGCCCTTTCCCTTGTGTCTTGACTTTTCCTTCCCATTGGATCCATTTGTCATACTTCTTTCCTCATTGCAATTCTCCATTCTCCTCTTCCCAACAATCCTCTTGAGAGGTTGGAAATGGGAGAGCTGGGAGCTGAGACCTGCTGACTCTCTGCTTTGGGGCACCCCACGCCTTCTGGAGCCCATATCACTGGCTTTGGTGAGCAGGGCTGAGGTATAACTGACAATTAGAGGCTGGGATGGAAACGGGTGAGGAATTTTCCTACAGCAGCTGCTGGGTCAGGATGTCTCGGTGCACTCTGACAACATCAAACTTTGCTTTTTAATAAACACACAGCTCCAGAAAGCTTGCTCTTAGTGACTCCATCTCAGCCAGTCCCTGCAGAAGTCTTTATGCCTTGGAAACGCAAATCTTTTTTTGACAAGATCTTACTACATAACAATGATTTTAATTTAAATTTACAACTGGCATTCTGCACTAATGTACAAGCTTACTGTGTCCTAGTAAAATGGTTCCAATAAAAAGTGCCTGTGACCCCTTCTCTAATTAAAAATTAAACCACCCATCAGCATATTCAGTTACTGCTCTCCCTCTCGCATGCTTGTGCCACGGAGGGCAGCTTCAGCATCAAAAAGCTGCTTTAAATGTGTTTCATCTTAAAAGCTGAGGCTGTTCTGGGTTGCCCAGAAGGACTACAAAAAGTTCAGTGCTGTGGGGTACCCAAGTGTGAAGAAGTTCTGTTTCTCTGGGCTGGGTTACTTGGTGCTTTCAGTCTCAGAACCATCAGCTAACTAGGGTGCTGGAAAAAAGGGAGCAAGTCTTTCTGTTCTTTTCTTTTGGCATCTGAAAAAGGATGCAAGAGTTAGGATCTGCCAATTCTTACGTGCACTGAAAAAGCCCAGGGCTGGACTGATGATGCTCTGCATGTGGCAGGGTGGAGAAGTGGGGAACCTGTCTGAATTTTGTTGTGAACCTCGTTAGCAGACAGAGGATTGTTGTTTGGCAAAAGAAAATATCCACATCAAGCCAGAATGTATAAAGCTGTTGAGATAATTTTGCATTCCTCCTTTTAAAGTGATCTGAATGTCCTAGTTTGATTGATGCCCGTCGTGTCTTGGCTCGGAAGCGGTACTTTGCTGATGAGTTTGTGGGTTTCCTGGTTGTCCAAGCTGCTAACATGTTTAATGCTAAATTAAAAATACACAAGACTTTATGCTCTTCCATCTTGCCAGCTGCACATACCCATGGAGCAGAGCCCTGAGTGCTTACCTGGTTGGCCATGAGAGCTGCTGCAGCAGCTGGGGCGCAAATATCTTCAACCATGGAGCTGGAGCACAAAAATACAGTGTCAGAGTGGACAGGGAGCCAGGTACCGGGATGGGCTGTCAGATCTCTTTTAGTGGATATTTTGGGTGAGAAGTGGATTCTTTTTGTTGAGTATTTTAGGTTTTTGAATGTTTGGACTCTTGAGGATTGGATTTTGGTGGAGCAACTCATATTTGGACTCCTATATGCACCTGTTGGAGCAGATCTGGAAGAGGGCCATGAAGATTATCTAAGGCCTGGAGCCCTTCTGCTGTGAGGCCAGGCTGAGAGAGTTGGGGTTGTTCAGCCTGCAGAAGAGAGAAGGTTCAGGGAGACCTTCTTGTGGCCTTTTAAGTACTTAAAGGGGCCTATCAGAAAGTTGGGGAGGGACTTTTTACAAGGGCTTGTAGTGATAGGACGAGGGGTAGTGGCTTCAAACTGGAAGCGAGTAGATCTAGATTAGCCATTAGGAAGTCTTCAGTATGAGGGTGGTGAGATACTGGCCAGGGTTGCCCAGAGAAGCTGTGGATGCTCCATCACCACATGTGTCCAAGACCAGATTGGATGGAACTTTGAGCAACATGGTCTGGTTGGGAGTTGGAAATAGATGATCTCTAAGGTCCCTTCCAATCCAAACCATTCTGTGATTTAACGGTGGAGCAAACAGTCAACGAAACTTTTGTTTTAAAATCTTCAAGTCTGTTGGTTGACTCTTCTGTTTAAAATAAGTCATACCCAGGTCTTGTGGCATAAGTAAAAGCAGACATGGAAAAAAGCCCAAAGTATTTATTTTGTCCAAGGATATTAATTCAACATCTGAAAGTCACTGTAGAGCTGTTCCGAGCAAGAACTTAAGGTAAGACTGGCTTATCAGACAAAAATGATCCACAGATTCCTTGTAGCAGCAAAGCTAGAACATCATGATGACTTCTGTTTGATGCTTATTTTCAGCATTTTGGAGTTAATAGGGTTTTTTCCCTGACCTACTTTGTTGTATCGTTTTTTTAAAAAAAATATAATTTATTGTATTAAGTCATGCAAAAATTGAGGTTGTTTCTTATTCTAAGCTGTAATTACATCAGTTCTTTGGTGTTTTTTACTTTATCTCAGTTTTGTTCCTTATCCTACTGCAGATCATGGTGTTAAGCTTTTCATTACTGTGGTTAGGACAAGATGCTTATTTTTAATCTTTTTAAAAGTGAGCACCAGCTTTCATGAGTGATCTTGACTTAAATGCCTGGAGCTTTTAACAAAACACCAAATATCATGGTGCTTTTGAGTTAAAATAATAAAAAATTATGAGAGGTTGTAAAATTGCAGATGGAAATCATAGAAAATTCAGCTTCCAAAGTGTTGCTTTTTTGTGTTCTGAGATAAGGATATTCTTTATTTTAGCGTTATTTTGGGAACTGCCTGCTTTCAGTGCTCTTAGGCAAGTGCTACCAAGTGAGCACTGCCTTGATGAACGTCACAGCATCATCAAGGATGAAGATTACTTGGACAAACCAGATAATTTACCGTTTCTTAGGGCTCAGACAGAGCAAACATTTACTTAGTACTAAAGCCAACAGTCTGAAATGTTGTAAAATTCTGTTCAAGCTCAAAAGTAAGCACTGTGGGACTTGAGTTTTCATTTTGACTGATTAAATGATCCTGGCAACACTTTCTTTATCCATTACATCTTATGCATATAATAGCTGTGATTAGGATGGGGAACCCAAGTCAGGGCAACACTGGCTTCTTGAGAAAAATAACACTTGCAGATTTTTCTCTGCATATGTAACAGAAATTCATCCCTGGAGGTGAAACGGGAACATCGGGTTTGTGTAGAATGGAAACAATTTTAAATTTGAAATAAGAGCTGTTTTTGCATAACCAAATCTTCTATTGTTCAGAGCTGGAGAGGACTGGAGAATTAGCGCTGTTGGCTGGCTGATTTCCATTAAAACTAAGTCTGTTTATTTTTGAAGGAGTAAACGGTACCACTGACTGCAGGCTTGGTTTTTAATATGTGCACAGATGAATATAAAATGGAAAGTATTCAGATGCACTAGCTGAGAGCAGCAGAGTTCTTGGTACGTCCCCATAAGCCAGGGTGGTGAGGGACAGGCTGTCTTTGCCCTACCCTGCCACCTCCATCCCAGACTGCTGACACCTGCTGCTGCTCCATTCTGTTTCCATTGTCCCAAGACCACGCAAAAGCCTTAGATCCTATGTGAGACATCACCAAGAAGGCATTTGCTAGTCATTTTTCATTATCTGTGTGTTCCTTCCCTGTGCCACATATTTCTTGATTGTGCTATGAAGTCTTCAGATGCATCTCCACCACCTCTTTGCCTTAAAAGACACTGAGCTCTGGAGCTCAAAATGATCTGCTGAATATTTTATATGTATGTTCCCTCCTCCTTCCTCTCTTTCCCCTACTGAGTTCACATCATGAAACCCTGAGCTGCATGTGGCTTTAATTGGTGGAAAAACGCAGTAATATATTTATCTCTTTACAGCTGAAATGAGGTAACTCACTGTACGCATAAGATGTGTTTGCACAAAAAGGTCCCAAGATTCTCATTGTTGGAAATTAATGGTTTAAGGGAATGGGACAATGGCATCTTGTGTTGCAAAAGCAAATAGAAACCAATAGTTGTGACTTTATTTTTATATTCTGCGGTTATTCACTGGCTGGGAATATTTGAATAGAAAAGGAAGAATGGGGAACAAAAGGAAAAAATTGAGCCACTACTCCCCTGCTTTCCACTTGCAATATTTTTTCTGGCCTTGGGAATTCTTTTACCATTCTACTCTCATGGTGTTTTTTTTAAGGCTGACCCTGCAATTGGAAAATTGAATTTGCATCAGTTAGAAAGAACCTTTTTTTTCGCTAAAAGATGCAGCACCTTTTCTTTCAAAGGCAACATTCACCCTTCACCTTCCATCTTATGAGCTAGCAAAAATTACTTTGCAGTAGCCGGTGTGTGTGATGAGGTGACATTTCTACTGTTCCCATTCTGCCTTGTAATAATGTTTAGATTTGTAGTTCTGGTTTCCCATTTGTCTCTGTATTGTTGTGTGGGTAACAGGGTATGTACTGTACTTTGTGAGTTTTGACACTCTGACACTTGCCTTATATTTAGAGTTGAATATAAAAGTTTTGCTCCAGGCTAGCTAAAAAAAGTGGAAAAAGAGCAGTAGGGTTGTCCTGGGGAGCTTTAAAATTTCTGGATTGGGGGTCATTTGGTAGGCTTGCTTGTTATTTGGTTTAATTTGTCTTTTAAAATCAAGCTGTGTCTTTTCCTCTGGCCAAATGGCTCTTACTTGCTGTAGTTGCTTGGGAGATCTACCACCATCTTCCCTGCCTTGGTACTTGAGCAGGAGAGTGCAAATAATTCAGCTTAATGAAATGTGCTGGGGAAAGGCCGAAGAGGAATTTGAAAAATGCTGTAAGAGCAGTTGAGTAAAAGAGCTGGGAAGTGACAGCAAGGGGTGTCAGCCAGGTGTCTGTCAGTACATAATATCATCTGCTATTTATTAGACAAATTACACACCTATTTCAGAACAGCGGATAAACCTGTTATTTTCTCTAACTTTTCCTATTTCAGAATAAAACATGAGCAAACCTGTGGTTGAGGGTCAGCACGAGTGTCCACAACCAGCAGCTGTTTGCTGCCTTGCTGATGTGCTGTTCTCATTTGGCAGGATGTTTCGCCTTCGCCTGCTTCCCGTGGCAGCGGGGCTGTCCGCCGTCTCGCGGCGTCACCACGGGGCAGCACCTCACCCCAGGACCAGGCCCGGGCTCCTGGTGGCCATGGCTTTTGTAGGGACAGCTGCGGCGACGGCCAGCGCCAGGTTCCTTTGGCAGAGGTAACGTCTTGTTTGTTCCTTTGGGGTTTTTTTCATTTTGTGCCTGAGACCTCATGCTGCTCTTGTGCTGTGGTAAGTACCTGCGGATGGATTTAAGATCTCTGGGAGATGTGAAGTGTTATTGTTTGTCGTGCTTCTGCTGCATGGAAGGAATGGCTGTTGGTGACCCCCTGCGGAGTTTCTTTGCTGCTGTGAGTAGTCAGAGATGCAAAATAGCGCAAGGCTGAAAAGTTTTCCTCTGTATCTGTCCCCACAAGGCCTGTTTGCCCTTGGCAGGATTTGCTGCCTGGCTTCCTCCTGCATGGTGATACTTCATGGGTCTGTGGTGTTGTGCAAAGAGAAACTGGTTGACTCAACCCAGTTGGGTAAAACACGTTTTTAGCTTCTGGAAGGGCTGCTAAAGCCAGCATGCTTGGCCAAGGGATGCTACCCTGGTTTCCTTTGTGTTCTGCAGACTGCTTCATATATCAAATGTAGCAGGGGGGCAGAAAGGGACAGCCTGTCTTTTGGTAGTAAGGTAGACACACAGAGGACTTAGGTGTTTTTTAAGGGCCAGGGTCTGAGCACACCTACTTGTGGGCCGTGAAGCTCAAAGCTTGTTTCTGTAACCATGAGGAAAAAGGGGCTGTTTGCACTTGCTTGAGGTGACCCTCACTGGACTTTTGCCACGCTTGAAATAAATCAAGGACTCCCTTCTCTTTCCTTAAAATATGGAGCAGCCTGGCACCAGCAGTGTCACTCAAGCTTAGGGCTGCAATTGGAGTCTGAAGACAAAGTCTTTGCCGAAAACTTCATTCCAATATTTGTGTGATTTATTGCTGACTCTCTGCTCACCTCTGTTGTGGCTAGAAGGCTCTAGTTTTAATGCAATGGGAGGAAGACGATGGTAATTGCTCTGGCTGATCCTAGAGCTGTCAAATCTTGATACCTGCTAAAAGGGGTTGCTCAGGCTGCGGAAGAACACCGTGATCCAGCACAGTGTCGTCTTATGCTGCATTTTGCTAATAACCTGCACTTATACAGTGCCTTCTTATCCCTCTGTGGGGCTGACCAGGTATAGCATCCCTTTTCAGGCAAGGAAGCAGGCAGTGCTTTTTCCACTTAAAACATCCTCAGTGTGATTGCAAAGTAGGTAGAGCATCATGTCCTAGGTAAAGCTGTCCCAAAGATGGGGAATTGTAATCTCCCTCCTGCAGCAGGTTCACCCCCTGCTTTTGTAAATGGACAAATTATCAATTGTCAGCCTTTTATCAGGAGGAAGGTGGTTCCTGCAGCAGAGAGCTGCTAATGGTATGCTGAGTGCTAGGACAAGAGTTATTTCAGGGAGTGATTTTTGGCTCTTGGTGTACTTGTCTGTTCCTTGGAGGCTCCTGGGCACTGTGGCCAGGCTTGGCCTTGCTCAGCTGAGAGTGCCGATAGAGATCTGATAAAGGAGAAGGGTCTGTGATTTCCCTGGTCCTCATCAATTTGGAGAGATGGGCTTGCTTTTACAGTGTGGTGTTCTTCCTTGGTCTTCTGTAAATTTGTAAAGCACTAAATCGAATCATACAGCCTTTGAAGTATTCCTTTCCTATGTGAGCCAGGAAATAAATCCACAATGCCAGTAACAGTAAAATAGAAGTGTGTTTAGACTTACGATACTCATTTAGTGAGTTACTTGGCATCCAGCTGTTGAATAAGAGGAAGAACAAACCAAACATGTTTGGTGGAGAAAATATTTCATACTGACACTTGAAGAAGTTCTAAACAGTCTTTTGAATATGCATTTTAATATTGAGTTTAACTGAGGAACTGCAAGTTTCCTTTGTCTTTCACGATACATACATTGGGTGATTAGCAGAGTTTAAGTTCGGGTGAATGCAAACAGTTTGTCATGAGGTCCTGAGTTATTTGGGTAATGATGTTCTGGGTTATTCAGATAGCTACATCCTGAGTTATTACAGTAAGTAGCACTAAATATAATTATAAATATGTAACGTGTAGAGCACAGGGATCAAATAAGTCAAGTATCACTGAAAAATATAACTTACAGGCTACAGATAGAAATGCCCATGTGCATCTGTTTATACATAGTAGTAAGTAATGTTGATTTATTACATGCTGCAGTGGTATTTAAATGGGAAGCAGGTTAGAGAGATCCTTTGCATAACCAGTTCTGTTGGTGCAGTTAGCCTGTCGTAGAGATGACTTGTGATGCTTGTTTACCTTTGGTTAGTGAAGCAACCGTGCTTCTGTTGTGATGTGAAACTCTCCCCTGCTGCACAGTTAGTGTCTGAGGGGTCCAGTGGGCCCTACCTTTGAGTATGGAGTTGAGTAAGGGATGCTCTCCTGCAGGCTGTCACTGAAGTTTTGTTTTGAGATGAAGGAAGTCTCCCTCTATTTGTTTTCTTGTAATTATTTTTCTTTACTGTTAAGGCATTAAAGATGTAATAGGCTGAATCAGGAAGCAGTTGAATGTCTTCTGCATTTTGGGCTAGGTAAGTAGAAGATTCAGTGTCAAAGGAAGAGCAGTAATAAGAGGAAAAGAACATCTGACTTGTAATTTTTGTCATCTGCATAAAGCCTTGTGTAAATGCCCCAACTCTTCTCTGCAGCCATGTGAGAGGCAGTATTGCATCTCTCATCGGTGCTTGGCATAATGGTTTGAAACCGAAAGAGGTGAGATTTAGACTAGGCATAAAGAAGAAGTTTTATACACTGAGAGTGGTGAGACACTGACCCCAATTGCCCAGAGAGGTGGTTGATGTTCCACCCCTGGAAACATATCAGGGGAGGTTGGATGGGGCTCTGAGCAGCCTGCTCTAGTTGAAGCTGTCCCTGCTCACTGCAGGGGGGTTGGACTAGATGGCTTTGAAAGGTCCCTTCCAACCCAACCCAGGCATATGATTCTGCTTAAAAAACAAACTTTCTGTTTCAGAACAGATTTCTTGTACTTTTGATGATGGTGAACCTTGAAAGGGGTTAATATGGTGGTGCCTGTATCTGAACTTGCCCTTCCCATTACTTAGCATGAAGAAACCCAGAACTTCTCAGATGGTTTCTGGACATCACATGCATCCTGAAACCAGTGTATTTCAGACTGATTGTGTAGGATATACGTTGAGCAGCATCAGAAGCCAGTTCTGGGGTAAGGAAGCCTACATGAAGGTAGAAAAGTGTCCTGGTTTGGGGTAAAATATTTCATAATTTCATAAGTCTCTTTCATGATAACATCTCAATGATGACAGGAGCTAGCTTCATCAGGTGGCATCGAGTAACATCCGGGGATGAATCTGCAGCCTGTGGATGCTAACCATGATGCACTCCGTAACATCTTTCCTGCCCTGGAAGCCTGCTATGATAGACAGAAATCTGCAGTCACAAACTTAACTTTTCTGTAGAAAGAAATGGTAACTTACGGATAGATATGATGTCAATGGTATGGAGTAAAGAGTGGAATGTCCTGGTTTAGGGTAAAATAGAGCTGGTTCTGCTCAATGATTTTACTTTTTAGCTAAAGCTCTTCTAATTAACTGCTCTGTCTGAAGTTAGCAGCGTTTTCACAAACTATCTCTTTTTAGCAGTGCTAAGACTTCACGTTTAGAGTTACTGCCAGGGATTGGTGTGCAGCCCAAGGCCACTGCTGAGCTTGGATCCCACACAGAGGGGGGCAGAGAGCACACCCCACCTGCAGGGAGGAGCAGACAGGATAACTGACCCCAGGGTTCACCAGTGGGGTGTTCCATCCCACAGCTGTCATACCCAGTAAAGCTGAAGGATCAGGAGGGACAAGCCCTACCCTCGCCCCTTCCATCCTCTCCCTCCTGTCTGCTGCTGCTGGGCTGCTGGCTGCTCCTGCTGCAGTGGCTGGCATCAGAGGAGGACTTCATCCATCCTGCCTTTGATCCCGAGCCCTGTGTTCCTGAACTGAGTGCCAGAATCCAGCTCTTGTACCCAGTAGCTGTCTGTGGTTGAGTCCAGCCTGGGACCCCCTCCCTGGGGGCTGATGGTGACTTGTTGCCATCGGGGGATCTGGGTTCGGGACTTTGTGTATATTTGTACATATTCCATTTATTATCATTATTACTGTTATTATTAGTGGTAGTATTAAAGCTGTTTTCTAATCAATGTCTCTCTCCTTCATTCTCTTTC